AGCATTTTGGTAACAAAATGTTTCTGACCAGAGAGGGAAACAACTCATCAATTAATGTATGTCTAAATGTATGAAAAAAATTATGTAAGTCTAAAAACTTCCCTGCTGGATGGACATTTGGGGCAGTGTTAATAGGATAGTGGTGAGCGTAGCTGCCCTCCAAGAACGAACAGTCCTTGGTTGTGGCACTTAAATACAATATTTTACTCTAGAAATTCATTAACAAAATTATGGATATTCTCTTGATAAATAAACCACTTGACTTATACTTTGAGTGATTTAAGTCAAACCCTGGGGCTGTAAGTTGACAGAGACTGGCTTACAGATTTGACAGCTTGCTGCTGTGGGTTGCTTTCTCAATAGGTTTTATCTTTATATTTACAACATTAAATCTGATTGAAATAATTTACATTTTATTTGCAAAGATATTTGTTCTTGGTCAATAATCAATGGGAGAGATAAACTAAAAAAATCAGCTTCTGGGTGTAGATATGTAGTGTGTGTTGGGGGTATTTATGACTTTTTGTGCATGGGCAAAAAGTTTTCCTGGAATCAAGGCTCTCTGGGGTATGTTGGTTTTGTTTGTTTCTAAGGTTGATACTTTTTTAGGAGACTCATAGCCCTTGTCTCTGGCGTGGAACTGGAGTGTGTGCCAATGCATTGGTTCAGTTTCCATTGTTATGATAAAGCTCCTCCATCAAGGCAACTAGAGACAGAAGGAGCTATTAGACTGACAGTTCTAGAGGGAAAAGATTGGCTCATAGCAGGGAAGGTGGCAGATAGCAGAGACAGTAGCTGAAGCAGAAGCTGGGGCTCACGTCTTTAACCACTAACACCTGGCGGAGAGAATAAACATGGAGTGCCTGAAGTCTTCAAGTCCACAGGGTACACTTTCAGTGATGATTTCCTTCAGCAAGGCCATACTTACCTTCCCAACCCCACCACAAACTAAGGACTAAGCATTCAAATGCCCCTATGACTGTATCCATTCCCCACATTTTAAAGTATTTATTTAAGACACAGAACTAGCTCTCTTAACTAAGCTCAAGCTTGCACACATCACTAACTACAGCCACCATGCTGTGCCATAGACCTCAGGGACTCACTCAGTAGCCCAAACTCAGCTCTTGTGTCCTTTGCCTATTGTTTCTGAGGCACCAAGTCCATCCTCTGGTTATCACTAGCTGCTTAAGTGTGTGACTGAGTTATGTTAGGCAGGATAGGCCTGAGTCCATGGCTCAACCTTAGTTTAGTATGTCTTTCATCCCCTTAGGCTGGAAATCAAGATGGTAACCACCAAAAAGTGAATTCACAACTGAAGTCAATAAAAACTCAGAAGCCAAGCCAAAAGGAGAAAAAAAAAGAAACCCGTAAACTGAAATCAGAGGCTGTCATTGTCTAGGTCTGAGGTTAAGCATAAGATTTAGGATCGTTATCAGCCACAAGGACATTTTTTTTTCATTCCTTCCAGTAGCTTAGAGCTACTGCATCAATACTTTTCATTTCTGTTGGTGAAGGAATGACTATTTTGTATTGGGGAGGGCAGTATCTTTCCCTGAATCATGAAGATTGGAGCTTGGAATGGCACACTCTCTTCCTGCTGCTTCCTTTAAAAGTCGAGGTTTCTCTCAGCCTCAATAGGAGGTGTTGAAATGAAAAAGAGGAAGGAAGGGAGAAGGAAGAGAAAGAGAGGAAAGGAGGATAAAAAGAGGAGGAGTAGAAGGAAGAAGAAAGGAAATGGTTCTGGATGGAAGAAGAAGAATATCAAGGGAGGGCACAAGATAAAAGTGCAGACAACTGGTAGACCAAGGATGTATATGTCAGCTTCTGCTTTTGGACAACAACACCCCCAGCTGTTGTCCTTTAATAAGAAGCTAAAGGAACCTGGAATAAATCAGAACTCAGTGGCTCAGAGAGTAACAGAAGAATAATACCATCATATTGAAAAATAAATAAAGTATCCTTGGTGGAAATTTAGCTTTGAAGAGCTTTGAACAATTATTTGCAGAATTGTGGAATTTATGGGCTCATCACATTCTCAGAGAGGTCCAGTATATTTAGACACTCTTATGGCACCCTGTGTGCCTCTCAGTCTTTCTTTTTACTTTCCGAGAGAATTGAGTTCTGTTTGTTTTGTTTTATCTGTTTACACTGGGTTGAATTTGCTGCGAGTTTAACACGAAGTATAATCTTCCCATCGATTCTCCTCTGTGTTTCTTATTGCACATTCATCTCCTCTCCCCCAAGTTACATCAAGACGAAACGAAGTTGTTTTGGTAGTGGAAAGTGGAGATGACAGGGAGCACACTTCAAGGCACTTGCAATTCCAAATGAAGACATGGTTCTGAGTCTGACATTACAGGGAGACCTGTTCTAAAGGAGAGCAGCTTCTTGCCTTCATTTTCTGTTTGCTCTTGTCAGTCACCACATGGAAATGGAGATGAGGGATAACAGGCTAACATCATTGACAGGGAGGGAAATCAAATCAAGGTGGAGACGATCTGGGCCTGGGTTCTCTGTGAATGGCTACTGAGTAGCCAGTATCCACCTTTGAGGAACCTTGTGGAGGCAGAGAGAAAAGTTGAGTGATGGTGGAGCTATTAGTACTTAAGCACAGGACCCTTGGTGCTTAAGTCACTGTTACAGTGGGGTGGTCTCTCTGGGTTTCTCTCTACTTTTACTGGTTGGCCCCTGGATGGGGTAGGTCACCCCTAAAGAATATGGCCAGACCCACCATGGCCCCGTGACAGGATGCTCTATAGTGTTGAAGGCCAAGACTCTTTATTGACCAGCACTTTCTCACAGTGAATCTGAGATGCCTGCCCCAATGCTCCATAAGTAACCTTGGAACTGGAACCCCAGGCTAGCCTAACCTCATCATTTGTCGGCCATGCATTTGGGGAGAACTCCAGAGATAATATTTTTTTCCGTGTCCTGCTTTTGTCTGTTCTCCTGCTCAATCCCACAAGCAAGCATTGTCTATGTGTGTACCACCACACCTTTGAGGCTTATGGTACTAAAGGATTCAAAGCATTTCAAGTCCAGATTAACAAAGATTATAAATCGAAGGCCAGTCCTTTTGCTTATGCCAAGAAGTAAGTGAATAGAAGCCCCACCCACACTGAATAGGGCCTTCTAAATGATAAGGTTCATATAAAAATATAAAAAGGAACAATTTGAAAAATAATTCCAGTCAAGTGCTTTCATAGCATTCTGATGATCCAGCATCTAACACCTGCTGTCCCAGCAAAACAGGGAGACAGTAGCCCAAAGTCTCAATTTGGCTAAGGTCTCTTGAAGCAGTCCTGACTCTTGCACAGACTGAGTTATGATGCTGTGCTTGTCAGGATACCAAGGTGGGCAGACATATGCCCCTGAGACTTTGTCTAGGTCATTCCCTGGTCTTCTTAGAGGGTGTGCCGCCCCTGTCACCCCATGAAGGCCTTTTTGTGAAAGGATTTCCCCCAGTGGAGTCTCAGATACAGAAGGTATCTAGGTAATGAAAAGACATATCCTTCCTAGAATAGGCAAAGTTCACTTTTTATGAGAAAGTTGGTAGGTGGCAGATAGATTCTTTTATTTTGTTGTTCCAGAAAAAATTTAAAAAAAGAGAGAAGTAGAATCAGAAGTACCCATAATCTCTCTCCTTTCTCTGGCTTTAGGGAAGACCAGGTAACACAGGTGTAGCTCATGACTTCATCTGGCCTTCTCTCAGTGTTTCTTGTGGGATTGTGTTCAGTCTTGATGTTGGGTCTCAAGCTTCATCTTCCACCGTGAGAAGGCTGGCACCACAGGCTTTCAGGAATGGGCAAAGAATGAGGAGGTGGAATTATGGGGACTAAGCAACAGCTGGCCTGGGTTTTATTTTGCTCTTGCCGTGTCTTTAGCTGAAATATTTAACAGCGCTGAGCTGCAGGAGCAAACTAAGGAGTAGTGGGTTCTTGGTCACCTTCACTTGATCTATGTCATCTCCTTCACAGAAATAAATCAACTGACCAATACTTAGACTCCAGGAAGAGTTCTTGAAAGGGAAGGCAAGAAAGGGGAGACCAGAGCAGTAAAAGAAGAGGAGGAGGAGGAGACCACTCACACTTTCTTCCTGGTTCTTTCCCCTGTTTATTTTTCATTTTTTAAAGCAAGGGATTCCTCCTTCCGACAAACTTCAGCTCATACCCAGTATTGTTTGGGGCAGGAACTAGAAAATTCTAGTATTTATCTAAATCTAAGAGTTGAAACCACAATGCAGGACTTCCTTGCATATCACAGACAGGAAGGCTCTGCTAGGAAAGGAAAAAGGGAGGGAACAAGGAGGGAAGGAGGAAGGGGAAGGGGAGGAAAAAGCAAGAGAAGGGGAGGGGAAACGAGGGAAGAGGAAGGAAGGAAAGGGGAAGGGAGAAGAGAAGAGAGGGGAAAGGAGAAGGGGAGGAAAGGGAAGGAGAGGGAAGAGAAAGGAAGGTAAAGGAAAGAGGTTTGGTTTCTTCACTTTTAATCTACAGAATTCTGAACATCACATTCCCATACTGCTACCCATCAACACCATTTGATAAAATTTAAGTGGCTGAATAAACATTGACTAAGTGAATGATCAACACCCATTTTTGTGAAAGACTTTTATGAATATATTGAATTATTTAGAAAGTATTAGGGTCAGTGTCACCGTGGAAAACTGATAGCACAGCCTGCCCTGTGTGGTTGGTGAGACAATGGTGGTATGTCCCAGTTGTTTGTCCTAATGGTGAGCAGGTTTGGATGTGAAAGCTGAGCCCACTGCCTATTATTTTCAACTCTAAATACATGATTGTGAGTTACATTTTGCTGTAGAAAAGTCTGCCTTAATTATCTGTAGCTTGTTTTCCGTTTGTTTCTTCTCATTGTCCCCTTAGATCCGGGTCCCTCTCAGGGGTTGGTAGGAGTGTATTAAGACTGAATTTACTGTGAGATTAAAGAATGACTTTGTGAACTCCAAGTCTCATCTGATAATGTATTTGTCTTTCTTTCAGTGAAAAAGGCAATTGAACTGAAGTCCAGGGGAGTCAAGATGCTACCGAGCAAGGACAGCAGCCACAAAAACTCTGTCTGTGAGTCCCATTCTTTCTATGTAAGGATGGATGCACCAATTAGAGGAGAAAAGAGGAGTGAACTGAAAGGTCTCCAACTTCCTTCTCTGAGAAACCACTTCTAATTCAACTGTTCCTCTATTCTGCTTTTAAGCATTTTCCTAAGATAAAGACTAGACCTGATCTTCTGACATGTTATCCTATTCCTGAAACATAGCTCGACTCAGTCTTCTATCTTCCCTGTAAAAGACTAGACATTGAAGATTTCTTTCTTGAAACCCCATTACTCACAGAGACATCTTGAGGGCTCTCTTCCCTCTGTGCAGTTACTCTACCCCTTGCCCCTGCAACAAACACTAGATATGTCTTTGAGAAAGAGGAGTTGGGTCTTTGAGTCTTCTTGTTCAATGTCCCTGATCATCTATTGTAGTAGGAGCCTCTTGTTTGTTTTCAGCTGCTCAGCTCCAAAATAACCCCACAGAAATTGTATTAATTAAATCACTACTTGGCCCATTAGCTCTAGCTTTTTATTGGCAAACTCTTACATCTTAATTTAACACATTTTTAGTAATCTGTGTATCGCCACGTGGTTGTAGCTTACTGGGTAAAGTCTGTCTGGCTCTGGCAGGGCTACATGGATTTTCTATGACTTCTCCTTCTTCCTATCAGCATTCAGTATAGTTTTTCCCACCTAGCTCTATTCTACCCTATCACAGGCTCAAGACAGTTTCTTTGTTAATGAATTCATGGTATATACAGCATACAAACAGAAATCCCACATCACCTCCCCTTTTCTGTTTAAATAAAAAGGAAGGTTTTAACTTTAACATAGTAAAATTACATATAACAAAACAGGTATCAAGCAAGAATTGCAGTTACAATATTTATATCTACTTTATCTTTTGTCATAACTAAGGAAAACTATATTATTACTATCTATTCTTCAACTCCATCAAAGACTCCAGAAGGATATAATATTACCTGAGTAAAGAGGAAGTATATTGTAAGCAACTTCCAAAATTCTAGAATTGACAAAGACATCTCGCTGCCTAGACAGTCACCCAAAATTCATTGTATTGTTGGGGCATCCAACTTCAGCCTACAGGCCCATGATAGCCAGCAGACTTTTCCACAAAGAGGGAAATTTCAAAGACAGTTTCTCCTATATTGACACTTTTCCAGTCACATTTTTATGTGTCCTGCAGAATGTCTTGGTGACTCTTTCATGAAGCAGGAACCATGAAGGACTGTGTAACCTTCTTTAAGCAGCTTCAGCAGTCATTTCTCTGTGGGTTCTGCATGTCCAATTCATACAGCATACCATCAAGCAATCCAGGCAAGAGCAGATTCGTGCCCAAATGGCTAACAAACTTCATAAGGAGTCTCTTCAATGGTTATCTTCTTTTTGAAGTGGTTGGTGCTGCCAGAAGCAGATGTGTCTCACTGTCATGAAAAGTCCTAAGTTCTTAAAATATTTTAAATGCCATATTATGAAGGTCTATGAAAGAATGTCTATCTAGCTAAAATATTTCTATATATCTTGAAAACCTAACATCATGACAATAAGCTTGATTATTATAGGTGATTATCTATTACTCTATATTTCTTAATTATACATTACATTTTCAAATAAGCTACACAAACACAATACCTTAATCAAGAGCACAAATACTTTATACAGCATAACAAAATTAACCTTAAATTTGTATCAATAAACCAAGATCCATACCAATGCAAATCTCTATAGCATATCCCCCTTTAAATGTAAACAAAGATTTAAAAAAATCATTTAGGGAATTTGGGTGTAGTTCTCTCCAAACTGCTTCCTGCTTTTTGTTGGATGAAGTATTTTGGGGTTGTTCACAGCAACCTTTCAGGGGATCTTGGTCCATCAAACCACATTAGTCTGGAAGCAACCCACAGGTTCTCATCTGCCGTGGAAACAAAAGAAGAACCTATTTTCCAAAGAAACATATCCTTAGACTCAAATGTTGAAATCCAGAAACCTTTAAAACATATGTGATGATTTAGCTTAGCAGCCCCCAGAATCAAATATCTCTCTGCAATCAAAAAATTCAAAGAAAACACAATAATATACATAACCCAGCCTCTCTGTGTATATTCTATCTTTACATGGATTTTTTTAATTTTTATTAATTTTTCTACAAGTTTACTCCATCTCTGTAAAGACTTTTATTTTTTAAAAACCATTTACTTCTTTTATAACTCTCTGTACCCTTTTTCTTCTCTCTCCCAAGCCTATGTATGTTTATTCAACAATGTGACTGATTTAGAGATTTTTTTTATTTGAATCTGTCTTTTTTATGTAATTATTTTCTGACCAAAAGCATCTTCCTCTCCATTTTTGCTAAGCAGGTGTGGCTAGGGCCAACAAGATCCTACCTGTTGGCTCCACATAGTCCAACATGGAGGAAGCATGTTTACTGCATCTGAGACTGCCCATAAAAGCCATCCTCACCACCTCAGCTCTGGGAAGCACAAGCACCACACAGCATATAAACCTTTTTTATCTGAGTAAAAGCCAAATCTGCCATGCAGCACACCTGAAAATATCTCTGTGTATGGCAGCAGGAATCTGCAATGCTTACTGCCATACAATCTTCACAGCTGGTCTGACTGTTCAGTGTTCCCTGGTTGTGTACCCAGAGCTGCATTCTCATCTAGATGGTCACATACATCTTACAGACTTTCTCTGTGGATTTCCTTGACACCAATTATGGCATCAGGCTCTACTGCAATGCTGAGTATTCACACATTATGTTAGCATGGGGTCCCCTTCTTCAGCCATCTCCTGGACTTCTGCTGACATTGTGCCCATTCTGTGCCTACTGGGTATCCCATATCCGAGTCCTTGCAGGGAGTGCTATGCAAAATTAATACCCTGTGAATGTTTTTGGTACTTTTTCTTGATAGTCACAACCTATGTCTTTCAGATGAAATTGTGGGGAGGATACATTTTTAAATGGTGGAAATGATTGGATGATTGAAGTGTGAAGAAAGGGATTTTGTTTGCCAATGTGAAGTTTTGCTACTTTCAGCTGCATTCTTACAGGTAGTAAAACAAAGTGTTGGTAATAATTTTGCAAAATCAGTTTTAGGATTGAAATTTTTGAAGTGGTGATCTACAGTTTGACAGAACCACCTGTTAGGCAATATGTTTGTATTAAGTCAGCATTAGATGAGAGGCTCCTTCCACTGGGCACATGTTCTTTTGCTTGGGTGGCATTGGCGTAGCTTATTCATGCAAGACATTCCCTCCTGTCCCTATTGATACAGGAAGTAACAGACCATTTCCTTTTGAGAATTAGAAAGTTCTTTTTCCCATGTCCAGGCAGTTCTAAACTCTCTGTGCCTTGCTTGAGGATTCATCAGTGAGGAAAAGGAAGAACTGAAGAAACCAGGCGCCTTTCATGATCAGTGTGTGAGGGAGACGTGTGACCCTGAAGGGACAGTTGAGGACAGTGACATGTTTCCCAGAGGAAGCAGGAGGGGCAGACTCTGGGGTTGTAAACACTTGCTGTGATCAGGTCCAAGATTCACCATCCATGATGCTGAGTCAGTCATCATGTATGCATCACCATCCAGAAGATGACCTAGAATAATCTAAGTGATCCTTTCCCATCTATGTCATGCGGTGGGCACTGAGCAGCTGGTTACCCCCATATTTAGTTTTGTCTAAGAAAGCAGTCCCAAATGCATTATCATCCCAGGGTTTAACAGCAGGGAGCCTCACTCTCTAGATGCCAAGAAAGAAGCAAAACACTGGTTTCACTTGTACCTGTGTTCTGATGGCTGGAGGTGGGCCTGTTAGGACGAGCTCTGAGCCTACTGTGAGCCCAGAAGGATGGCCATTTCCCCTTTGTGCTCTGTGAATTCCTTAACATCTCTATAAGGGCAAGTTATGAGATACAATTCATGCTCTTCCCACTTACCGTGGCAGCCAGCCTTATTTGGATTTCTGCTGGACTAAATACTTCATGCAGATAGATGCCGGTGACCTTTGCATGAGCCTTATTCTTTCTAATGTGCTTCACTGAGGTTCAGGCTCATGTCTCAGACCTACACAAGGGCTTGGAGGCCACAGCCCCTTATGACTGCGTAGGACATTCAAGCCAATGTGACCCCCTGGCACAGGTACTTAAAGACTTCCCCAAATTAGGGCTTGATGATGTCTGACAAAATATGTTCTAAAAGCCCCTAACAGAAGGCCGGGATGGAGTATGAGCTGTGAGTACCACCCTAGGTCACCCCTCTGCATGTCTCATTCCTCATCGGGCCTATTCTTTTCCTTGAGAGTTCTCATAGGGGAAAGATGTGACAGTGGTCACTCTGTCAATGCCCTTGCACAAGGCAAGTCTTGTGAGACATGTACTCATCTGAGACCTGTAGGAACAGACCACAGGAGCTGAAGCTTTGAAGGGGAACTGGGACTGCGGTCATGCGTGCACTTGTGAGAATCTCTCAATCTCTCTCTCTCTCTCTCTCTCTCTCTCTCTTTCTCTCTCTCTGTGTGTGCGTACGTGTGTGTGTGTGTGTGTGTGTGTGTGTGTGTGTGTGTGTGTGTGTAGTGTGTGTTGTGGCTGTTCTTATGGCAGGTGTTGAGATTACAAGTGTACAGCACCAGACCTGGCCATTGTTTGCAGAGGACAGTAGTGGATACAGTCTGTCCTCCACCTCTTCTGGGCTTTCTCCAGGGCCAAAGTCCATCCTAGATGCTTTCCCTGAGAAGTTGGAGAGGTAAATGCCTTTCCAGCTCATTCAGAAGAACAATCACGGGGCAGGAGGAGCACAGATGTCTATTGTTGGAAACAATTTCCCCATGCAACGTTAATGAAATGACTTTACAAATTCAATGTAGATTTACACAGAGTGCAGAGGGAAGTGGGCGCCTTTTTAAAGGGAGAGAGACCACACCCCAATGGGCTGGTATCTCAGCGGCTATTAGCTGAAGGAGCGGAAGGAGCTTCTGCAACACAGCCTCTTCTATGTACCCATCTGCC